GGGGGGGTCAGGATCGGAGGAGGGAGTTGGGGAGTAGGGAGAAGAAGAGGATAACCGGGGGGGGCCGCGGGGAGATGATGATGGTCGCGCGGAAAAGTAGCGCGCGAGGGGGGAACGGCAACGCACGGAGGGGGGGAAACAGAGTGTGTGGGGTGAGTGAGGGGAGCGGGGGAAGGGAGGGCGCAGGGAAGTTGAAGGCCGGGGGGGGGGAAGGTAGCAAAGACCTTGCGGGGGATTGCGCGGGGAATCGGGGGATCGTGTGGGGAATAGGGATCGTGCAGGGAGTCGCGTGGGGGTCGGGAGTCGGGAACGGGGAAGAAAGAAGGGGGAAGGGAAGGAAAGGACGAGGATGACGACGATGATAAGGAGAAAGAAGAGATGACACGGAGGAGGAAGAGAAGGAAACGAGGACATTGACAAGGATGAAGAAGAAGGAGGAGAAGGAGAAGGAATGAGGAAGAAGAAAGAAGAGAAAGAAAGAAAAATAAAAAAATTATGGTAACTTACCTGCACGTCGGTGATGGCAGAGGCGGCGGTGACGATGACGTGGTAGCGAGGACGAGGCAATCGATGACGATGACGTGGCAACGACGGCGACGAAGTTGACGGCGAAGATGATGACGTGGCAACGACGATGAATCAGGGCAGGAGGGACGGCCGAAGCCGCTCCGATACCAGTGTGACAGGACTGAGGCAGAGCAGCAAGGCCGGGGAAGAGAGAGGGAGGGAGTGAGAGCACACACACACTCACTCGACTCGACACGGACACGACTCGACGGATGCAGACACAAAGTGGCAAAGTGGCAAAGTCGCAAAGTCGCAATCTTGGTTCCGAACACAATGTCGCAGCAAGTCACACTGAAGTACAAGCACTCGGGCCGAAAACTGAATGCATGCCCGAACTCAGCTTGAGTCAGGTCTTAAGTACTGGACTCAAGTTGAGTCCGAGGGCAGAAGTGCAATTTGCCTCGGGGCTGAACTGAAAATCGAATGTCTGAGCCTGGGCGCCAGAATGCCGGATGGCGCCCAGTATCGAAATCCAAAAGTGCCAGAGGCGGGATTTGAGAATGGGTGCCAACTGCAGAGGGCGCCAACAGTCAGGAACCGGAGATCAGAGACTCAAAAAAAATAGAATAGCAGCCTGGCGGGTGGTAACCCGCAGGCCAGGGAACGAGCCCTGGCTGAGTCCGTAACACCGACAGTCAAGTTAGCATCTCCAATGTGCTCACATAGCACGAACTTCGAACCTGTTTTGTTAAAAAGTGCTCACATGATCAACATGGGCATGCCAGGCTTAGCAAAAACTCAGAGATTTTAGGGCTCCCCTGTTGCTATTGGTCATAAAGATCACCAGGTGCATCCCTATGTAGCAGAGATTTTGCATCAGTGGGACCTGCCCTCGGGCAAAAGCAGACAAAAGGCAGTGTTTCCTCTGAAAAACAGGCTCCTCAATCAGGCTGCAATGGGCATTGCAAATATAGAATGATGATTGCAATGATGATTACTATGACATTGAGGACGATAATGAGGAAAACGAGGATGATGGCAAAGAGAAGAAAATGATGATGTTTATGAACACAGAATCATTGGAGATGCATGGAGTACGAGCTGAGGAATTTATTTGTCCGATGCGTAGAAGATTATCTGTGTTGTATTCGTTATGCAAACCGGCTCTTGATGGAATAGTAAAATGTTTCTTTGTCTAATGGTTTATTGTGTGCACAGTTCGCGCCGCCAAATTTATTGACCAGAAAGAATGGATCGTGGTGGGTGGAGAGGACAACTCAATTCGAGTTTATGATGTCAAAAGTCACGACCTTGTGAAGATGTTTGTGGCACATCAGCACTGGGTCTATGATGTTGCAGTGCATCCAAGTCGACCGTATGTGTTGTCCTGCTCTAGAGATGAGACCATTAAGCTGTGGGATTGGGAAAAGGATTGGGATCCCATCACCTTCCATGGTCATTTACTGGCGGTGAAACAGGTTTCCTTTCATCCACAGGATCCGAACATCTTTGCAAGTGCTTCGGATGACAGGACTATCAAGGTAATTATGAAGTTCGGATGGCAGGACAATCAAGGTGATTATAAAGGTCAAAGAGGTAATATAATTTGGAACACGGAATGCATGCAGATCTTTTAAGAGCATTTAATGAAATGTGTGAGGATTGAGCCCTCAAGTAGGGGACTTGCCATGATGTACATGTTCTGGGCTAAGGCCCCAGCAAGCCTCGTGCCCGCCCTAAGTGAAGGCGGGCCAGCAAATCAACAAGAGCCCTCTGTGCCAACATTTCACGAAGTGGGGTCCTTACAGTTGCAGCACGCCAGTTGGTTGGAGTGCACCGAGTCTCGGATTTCAGCAAATGCTGAAAGCCCAGGGCCTCTGAGTTAGTTAGGCCCTGGGCACTCGAACGTGAGGCCGACAATGCATGCTGGGTATAGAGGCCGAAAATGCCAAAGGGAAATCGGCCCACTATCTGAATCTGGCCGCAGGCCTTGATGAAGGAGGCGCAACTGCATTGCCCCGGGGCCCAACTGTATCGGGCTGGGCTCAGCCTCTGGGTCCCGGTCACAGGCTGAAGGGAGGCCGCCCACACGCTGCACTGGCATATAGGCAAGCAGGGCGAGTGGGCAGGGATCTTGGCCAATGCTGGCATTGCGGGCACGCTGCGCGGATGCATGTGTGCTGCGCTGTGCAAAGCAGTGCTGCGCTAAGGTGAAGCAGGCCAGCGCTAGGCGGTAGGGCGCTGCCTGCATGCAAGGCACTGGCGGCCATAGCCGGGCCGCATGAGGGTGCAGAGAGGTGAAGGGCGAGGTTGCTGTTCATTGCTGTAGTTGTAGGATAGGCTGTAGAGTAGATAGGGCGCCTGGCGCCATTCACAAGAGAGAGCTACATTTGGGTTATGCTGTTGGTGTTGCGCTGTTGGGCATGGACATTGACTCACGATTCTTCTGTATCATTCTCAATTGGATGGTTACTCGGTTCCATGTGCTATCTGCTTTGGCTTTGACTACTTGGACTTCAGTGTGATTTTGCATTCTGGATTTCTGTGCTTCGTCCATACTCATGTTCCTTGCAATTTGGTATCGTAGCTGGTTTGATCGCCACTCACCTTCGATATGCTGGCGTTATACAGACTTGGTGCGTTGATGATGCTTCTTCGCAGTGGGTACTTGTGACGTCAGGCCACGTTAGGTGCACGCCCTGGGTAGAGAGGGGTGCACCGGAAGGCTACAAACGACAATTAGGCCGTGGTGACAGGCGGGATGTATGATTGGTGATGAGAGCATGCTGATGTGGCATTGGACTAGCGTTGCACTGTATTGCGTTGTGGGTGGTACCGAGGTCATGACCGGTCATCAAATGCAACATCAGCTCAATTGGTGAGAAAATCTGTGGTAGGGGGAAGCTATCTCCAGGTATGTTGATCCCTTACCTTATCTACCTTCTCAATCTCTTCTTACCGTGAGGAAGTGAGTCCAACTTGAGAGTCCTCTCCTTGGTGAGGTGTCGTGAGCGCGCTACCTTGAGAGACAACAATCTTCCCAGAAGCATCTGGAAGGAGAAAGGGCGGTGCCTCTGAAGGGCCCTGGTCGAAGCACTGGGTCACGGTCACCATGCCAACCCACACGGAGTAGTGCACGCATGCGATGGCTGCTGTCCTGTTTGGCACTTGCTGCGCTAATAGAAGTTCCTCCGGGTGTGCCAGCCCATGATAGATGCTTACCAGACCGTCTATAAATATTTCTGGTTGGGAGTTCATTGTGAATCTGGCTGTGATCGTCGTCCTGACTGCGACGTTAAAGAATTCCTGAAGAGATGGGGGCGCTCTATAAATTCCTCCTGATCAGCCAGATCACATGGGCAGGAAGGCTCGTCGCCGTACGAGGGTAAATAAGAGTGGTTGGGCTGGCTTGCTCAGTGACAACTTGGGCACAGGGGTGGGCCGATTCACACACGAAGACACTGCTCGCTCA